TGTATTTCGGGCTGTGCTTCTGTATTGCATTTTGCTTTGCATTATGTGCTGAAGATAAAAAAACGTGGTTCTCTAGACCCTAAAGGTATCGGGCACACACTGGAACACCATATAGGGTCTATTTGGCAGCTAGTTTCTGGATTCCTGCCAACACACACACACACACATCCAGCTGCCAAATAGACCCGGTTTAAGGCACACTCACTCCCCCCCCTCCCCCCGAATATCGACGCTCGACGCTAAGGGGGGGGAGTTTCGTAACCAACGAGCCGTGAACGCGGGAAAGCGGGAAACGCAGGCCATGCCAGGGTTGCCTTGTAGGGCCGCTTTTGCCGCACCGACTCGCCATCCTCGGCTGAAACATGTGTGGAGCGGAACGTTCCTCCAAAGAGCCTGATGCTTCGACAAGGCTTGTCCCGGGTTTAAACCTTCCACCCAAGCTAAACCACGAACCTGAAACCCATGCCTTTGAAGCGAAAGACATAAGGCACTTTTTTGGATTTAGTATGGGGTCCAGAAAAACTGCAGTGCCCTAAACCCACACTGAGGAGTCGGACGGTAAGGATAGCAGCCGGCCGGGGCCTGGCAGCCACTGTCCGAGGGAGCACCTGACGAATTCTGGAGCAATAAGGAAGAAAACAGAACTTTCACACCAATCTCGTCCGTCTCTCCTGCCTTGCCCTGTTTTGCTTGTTTTGGGGGCGAGGGGGGAATCCCCCCGTATTCGTAGTTATCACTCGGCCCGTGCTCCAGTGGTTCAGCCTGCGGTCTACTCTTCATTGATCCCTGCCCGCTTCTTTTGAATTTCCCTTACTCTTACTGTAAGGATCCTTCCCTTTCTCCCTCCGCGGCCTTGTCCCCAGTCTTCGAGCTGAGCCAGTCGTGCATGGGCTTGTCGTCCTTCAGGGAGCAGAAGGACTTTAATGCTTCGTGGTCTGGAATGAGGTTTGTCTCATTTTGCCAGGGTTCACTTGGAGCCCATTACGAGCAACGAACTACAGTGATTGCCAATTTGGATATAGGTTCCTTAGCGGAGCTGCCGGACAAGGGTGCTCCAGGGCTTCCCTCCACAGGCCGATGCTGGACCAAGGAGTTGAGGTCAGTCATCACTGACGCACTATCGGGAAGACCAGTTGGGGTTACCTGTGAGAGTCTTGACGAGGCCATAAGGAATTCCCGTCACCAAGTAGCCTCGCAGATTGGCAATCCCAGCCAGGAGGATGAGGAGGAGAGGCTCAACAGGATGTTTGAGGAGGAGAGTGTTCTCTCTTCATCCGATGACGAGGGCGAAGAACGGGCTATGGCTGTTGAGTTGCCCCAGGAGCATGATGTGAGAGAGTTAAAACAAGAAGAACTTGACAGTTGGAAGGCCCATTTCCAACGAGGCCACGTGCCTTATAGACGCGACTGCAGAAGGTGTGTTGAGGGCGCGGGATTGGGGGTTCAGCATCGCCGAATTCGGCATAAGACCCTCTTCTCCCTAAGTATAGACCTCTTTGGACCCATGAATAAACATGAAAGAGGCCAAGACGAAGAGTCGGTTTCTGCTATACCCCATATCAAAAAATACCGGAAGAGGGCCCTCGACCCCAAACAGGCACCGAGACGCATCTCCTCCTTCTGCTGCTCAACAACGCCAAACCTTGCGATAACGGCAGTGAGCATTCATGAATCTGTGATTGGTAGGACCAGCACTTAGGAATGCTTTCGAGGGCTTGATCAAATCCTGGGTGCCACGCTTGCGCTTCTCTCCATACCGCTTCGCGTTCAAGGACTGCCACTTTCGTGCTTTCTCATCAAGCAGCTCCTCAGCCGCAAGCTACCAGGGTGTGCTTACCGGAATCTCCTCCCAGTCCTTCTGCCCAAATCACCTGACTTTATCCTGCCAGGACCCTGCTGCCAAGAGTCTTCCTGGGTCTTGTTCGACGCGGCAGGCCTTAAATTAAAGGGCCCAGCATCAACGACAGACACTCACACCGATCACAGAACTGCGGAGCTCAGCTGAGCCCCTTGCTTTGGAGGCTCTGGCGGTGGGGCCTGCGGAGGGAGACGCATAGCAGCAGTCGCCTGACGACAGACCCAAAACCGTCACATATGCAAGAGAAGCAGCGAGCGTGTCAAAGAGGTATGCTACGGAGGATCTGTTGCTTAAGCTTGCACAACATTTGTTTATGTAGCATCGGCAGAATCTGACACATGCATACAAGTGCAACAAGCAACACCTTTACTCTTTCGGCTTCTACCGAAGCACATCGCTCGGAAGTCTCAGGAACACTTCAAACAAAGCAAGCCGTGGCCTGTGCCATTTGCTGCTCCTGCGGCATCCCCGGCCTGTGCTCTTAACTAACACACTGAACGGCGCGGAGCAAGGCAGCTACGAGAATGATTGCTATTGGGGTTACGTTAATGGTGGTAAGGCCTTCATGTACAAAACCAGGATCGCATGACCTGCGGTCTACCCTCCTCGCGGGCGCTCAATAACTTCAAAGCTCGAGCAAGAACAAGCCCTATGATGCCTGACAAAGCCTGCAGCAGCTCACACAGGCCTACGAAACTAGACTTGCTAAAAGCTCGAATCAGCAGTGCTACTGTAGTACCAACAGTAGACGGAATGGCAGAGGTATGGTGTTGATACTACCCACGGTGCTACTCACACATGCACAAAATTCCGTGACCTTCATGGTAATGTTATTTCTAAGTGAGTATGAGTAAAGCTCATGACTATGACGATGCCGACAGCCAAGCTTGCCCTGCTTGAACAATCCGCTACTGCACATTATGGCCCATGCGACTGCAGCGAAAAATTGAAAGTCATCCTCCTCCGTCTCTGGTGTTAAACATACATGCAGAGACATCTCTTCTTACAACCTAGAGCCTAGGCCTAAACCTAAATTAAAGCCCTAAAGCCTGAACCCCGAAAACCGCTGTAATCGGTCCGAGGAGCATTCCTGGAGGCAGAGCGAATGGGTTCAGGGCCAAGCTGTGGCTTGGCATCTGGCCCCCCATTTGGCCCTGGCCCGGAAAATTGAACATGGCTGCACCTCGGGGGAAGCTTCAGGGCTTAAGACTGATGAAGGGTGCCGTTGAGTGGTATTTCTACTTTTGTAGCAAGCTTCCAGAACTCGAGAATGCCCGGGCCTTGGGCTATTCGTCAGAAGGGGCCTACTGCATCGTGGCAGCAACAACAAAACAGCAGCAGAGACCGCAGCGCACATATCAATGGTGGTTCTACAAGATTTGTTGAGCATCCCCATAGTCATCACTATCGACACCGTAATCACCACCACCACCACCACCTCCATTACCTTCACCAACATCATCCACTCAGCGCCGCACGACCAGGGTAGTCCATTAATAACTACCTGTCTACAGAGCACACCTCTCGATCCTTGATCCTCAAACTGACTGCGAGTGAGATATCTGCATGGATGACATTTCGGAAGGAAGGCGCTTGCATGGCCGTCGTCTTCACTGCTGCCGTCTGTGATCAACGAACCACTGACCTTTTCTCGTCCATACCAGCATTACTTAATCCTCTGACTCTTGCGCCCATTGCAGAGAAATTTACATCTACTGAAGACACGATAGTGCTGCATTTACCCGCATAAGAAATGCAATCCAGCAGCAATCTGGAACAATTCTCAGAACACTAAGTGGTAAATGTTAAACAAGACACCAGTGAAGCACAGGAACATCAATCTGGGACTGCTCCATTCATACGATTAGGGTAACTACAGGGGTCCCTCTGAGGGTTTTTATAAGCTAGGGAGTCCCGGACGTCAGGTGAACTTGAAGTACCGGGCTCCTGTCAGAGGTGTGCAGTACTTGGGTTCATGTGTTGTGCTCGGTGGCTTTGGTACAAGTTACAACAGCGATGGCATCTCGCGTGGCGCTCGGGGTTTCCGATTTCGGAATTCGGAGGTCTGGCTCTCTTGCTTTTAAACGCAGGGCCTGAAGCAGTCGTCGTCAGCAAAGAGCGGAAGAATGGCAAGCAGAA